AACAACTTGGCTCGGTTGACTTTCCGCTCCGCCTTGTTTGCAATCAAGTGCAGATTTCGGCTGTACCTGTAGACCCCGCCCACGACACTCCCCAGGCTGCCAAAATGCCTGCTCTTCAACCGCCAGATCTACGGCAAACTCCGGAAAGGCCTTGGTCCCGTGTGCACATCGTTTTTGTTAGCCCACTCGACGGTGTCACCTAGTCGTGGTTGACGTCCACTAAAAGTGGCCCAAGATTGCACCGCTGTATCCGGCAACCACTGCCACTATCACCTTCCTACGGCGCATCTTCAGCCAACACGATCTACCCGATGTTCTGGAGTCGAATAATGGCTATTAATTTACCTCATCGACCTTTGAGGATTTCTGTCGCCAACACCACATCCAACATCTTCCCTCCCCGCCGTACCAACCTCAGTCGAACGGTCAGGCGGAACATTTTCTTAACACATACAAACGAGCCCTTTTGAAAGCCCGTGGGGAGGGGACTACGAATGAGATACTCCAGGTATTCCGGTTTTCTTACAGGACCACCCCTAACGCGACGTCTCCTGGTGGTGTCCCCCCTGCCGAAGCCTCAATGGACGGGAAATTTCGAACGAAGTTCCGTGCACTGTTCCCTACTAATCTGACGTCCTCACAGTCACTTCCATCTCCGTCGGCACACCTTTTTTCCGTGACTACCGAGCAGGGCTTCCAGACTGGATTGAGGGAACGATAACAGTACGCAGAGGAAGCATGCTGGTTGACGTCTATCGGTAATGACACCTGAGTTCGTCACAACAATCAGATCCTACGGCGGCAGTTCAGTAATCCAACTGGACCTGAATCAGGCGCTTCACTCCCTTTCGACATCCTGCTGGACATCCTTGCCTTTTCAGCAGACCAGTCAGCCTCCAAAATGAATGCCGCAGCCTCTTCGGATGTACCGCTTTCGGAATTAGTCCCTGGCCCCGCACCTGTACACCAGAAACCATCCTCAACATACCGGAAAAACCGTGATCGAAGAAGAACGCAGAATACACAGGTGAACCCATGCCATAAGCGATGCCGCTATTCCCATTACGAGTGAGTACACACAAAGGCGTCACGGATCTACCTGTCTGCCGGCCAGCATGTCCGCTCAATTCTGATTGGCTCAGTGTCTCAGACTATGCCACTCGCGTTCTCCCCTTAAATGCATTCAGCCTTTGTGTAGGAACGACTTGCGCTAGCGTGCTTTGTCTGAGTACACACCATCTCGTGCTCTGTCATCTTCTGTCTTCCCTCGTACGGGCCTTGGGTACAGGCGGCTAACTTGCCGTTCGTGCTGATTACTAGTACCAGGCGCGGGTCGTAACACTTACTATTATTCAATCCTTGCGCGGAATAAACTCTTCCTAACACTTTGGCCCTCCCATGGCTTCTTTCTCTCGTCTCCTTAAGAACCGGGCCTGAAAGATCGTAGCCGTTAGGGTTTACCTTATTAGCCTTAACAGCACTTGATAAGCCTTTACAGTAGACCAAGTATCCTTGACCTTCAAATTTGGCTCAATAAAGATCGTACTATATAGGTATACGTTGAGACAGACGCTAAAGACAGGGGTCTGCGTGACATGTGGAGCGCAGAGCGTCTAATCCAAAACGACATTAATGCACATTACTCGAAGAATGGTTATGGGACAAAGATGGTTGAATAGCCCAATTTTTGCTCCTTATTCATGCGTACAGCTCAGCTGCCATAATCAGGCAATTTTCGGAGACAGGTGATGAAGATACTGCGTATAGTTTGTCGAGAATTTACGAGAATTATGAAAGCCTTGGGAGTAGAACTGATCTGGGTGATATTAACCTTCCTACTCCGTCGATTTAGCAAAACCTTCGCCGGCGCTACTTGAAATAATCCGCTTCTTTCGGTTTAGTGATCGTAGGGGAGAATCCCCGAAGCAGCAAGAATGAACTCAAAGCGCCGAAGTTGTTGAAACACATAAAGGCAGGGAGCTAGTTTTGAGGGAGGACTTACAGACTCCAGCGGAAATAGGACGCAGTAACGTGAATCTTAATTGGACATTGTTTGGGTTCCGGATATTCAGAGTACAGAAGGGTACCCAACAGCAGTCCACACAATGCATTTGAATTTGTCTCCCTCAGCAGTTTGGCGCAAAAAAGGTAACAACCAGGCAGGTGTTGAAAGCATAATTTCCTACTGACGGCCCACGGTCAGGATGTCATAGTACTGTCATGGGGAATTTCTATATTCGGTAAGGCAGGCGGTGTCAAACCTCAGTCCTACGTGCGCTGGCAGTGCCGCCACTGCTGGTTCACGACTTTTGATTCCGCAAAAAAGCTTTACTGAAGGTCGATCCGCTTCCCACCACCCGTGGGCGTGCCCGGTCGGCAACACCTAGGTTGATTTATAACCTAGGTTCCGTTACAACGAAGTTTCAATGATCAAAGCCATGTGAAAACGAGGCCCATATTGC